ATATATAGAGTTTGTGTATATATGTGTGTATAATGTATATATATAGTGGTTTGTTATATATACATACATATATGTACATTATATATTTTCCTATTATATATATTATATATGACATTTTATATGTGTTTATATAGACACACACATATACAAAGATGGAGTGTATATATTGTGGTTTATTATATATTAGCTATACATGTATAATATATATTAATACCTATATACAGGGTGAGGCAGCATAACTTCCTTTTTTCAAAACTTAATAAAACCCATTGTATGAATCAGATTTTTTTATAAGGTAGGCACATACCAAAAGTTTTGCTTTACGTAGTTTTGAAGATCAAATTAGGTAGGTGACGTCCCCCATTCTCCATACACTAAGTAATCCGATTTCTGGCGTTTGTCATGACTCTTCCAAGCATAGCAGGAGTTGTGTTGGCAATTTCTTCCTGGATGTTGGTCTTCAAATCTTGTAGGGTCCTTGGACGGTTAACATAAACACAGGATTTCAAAAAAACCCATAGAAAAAAATCACAAGGGGCCAAATCTGGAGAGAGGGCCGGCCACTTCAAATCCGCTCGAAAAGTAGGCCTCAACGGCAAAAGCACGCTCCTCACTGTTCCAATGCACGATGACAAATGAACTGTGTCAGGACAAAACTTTATACTCCCGCCTCTCGAACAAGACCACTAGCGCTCCGCTACGTCTTCAACCGACTGAATGGCGCGCATTTTAAAAAAGGAAGTTATACTGCCTCACCCTGTATACATATATATAGATATTGATATATCATATTGTATTATATTTATTATGCATATGTGTATATGTGTGCATATATATATGTGTGTGTGTGTATAAAACCATTCTATCAACTGCTTGTACTTCTTTTCCTCCAGAAATTCAGTTGACAATCATCTTGGCTTTGTGAGTCACCATTTGTCTTTCTCAGAATTGCACCATATCCTTTGCTCAAGCTTCCTGATATTAACGCAGGCAAAGGACCTCACCGTTCTAGAGTTAACTGAGCATAAAATCCTTTGAGTTATTAAGATTTAATCAGGAAAACATATATGAAGTGGGATGAAGCTACAGAAATATGAACTAGAACAAGAAGTCCTAACACAAGAAGTTGAAATAATCACTCCCAACTTTTGGAAATAGATGCCCATGAGATAAATTGATTTAGCAGTCATTAAAGGTTTTGAGAATTACAGTCCTGGGGTTAAAGTCTTATTATTGTTATCCATCCATCTATATAAATAAATAATTATCATTCATCCACCTATCTATCTTCCATTCATGTATCTATCCACCCATCCTTCTATCTTCCATCCTTCTATCCACCCGTCCATCCATCAAACATGGTCCTTAACCATGGCCTTGAATCAAGTTCCTGTATTTCATTACTGCACCTTAAGTTAAAATGATCCTATTATAATTACTCTATTCCTTTGCTGCGATATGTTCTATCTACCTTTGGCCAGCCTATCCTCTAACTTGTCTGTACACCAGTCCTCCCCAAAATGAGACTTGGGAGTATTTATGGTTGTTGCTTACGAGGTCTTGTTTTTTTTTTATGTCAGTTATACATTGTTTTAATTTTTTATTTGCCTTGTTTTAATTATATGTTTGGGTTAGTCGTCCCGGGTCCCTTTGGGGAGATGAAGGCGGGGTAGAAAAATAAAGTTCTTCTTCCATTTATCCATCTATAAATGACATCTTATTATTATTACAGATCCATCTATATAAATTTAAATAAGTTATTATTATTCATCCATCCATCCATCCATCTAACAGTCCATCCATCTATCTATCTTCCATCCATCCATTGATCAAGCCTTATTATTATGACCCATTTATCCATCCATCTATTTATATAAATATAAATAAATAATTATTATTCATCCATCCATCTGTCTTCCATCCATCCATGTATAAAGTCTTATTATTATTACCGATCCATCTATATTATTCATCCATCTTTCATCCATCCATCCATCAAATCATCTAACAATCCATCCATCTTCCATCCAGCCATCTATCTTATTATTATGACCCATCTATCCATTTATCCATCCATCTATTTCTATAAATAGAAATAATAATTATCCATCCATCCATCCATCCATCTATAAAGTCTTATTATTACTGTTCCATCTATAATTTAAATAAATTATTATTTTTATTAATCCATCTTCCATCCATCGATCAATTCATCTATCTATCTATCCATCCATCTATGACCCATCCATCCATTTATCCATCCATTTATATAAATATAAATAAATAATTATTATTCATCCATCCATCTATAAAGTATTATTATTACCACCCATCTATATAAATTCAAATAAACTATTATTAGTATTCATCCTCCATCCATCCATCAATAGGAGCATAGTGTCTAGATCTAGGGAAGTAATGCTACCCTTCTATTCCGCTTTGGTTAGACCACACCTGGAATATTGTGTCCAATTCTGGGCACCACAATTCAAGAGATATATTGACAAGCTGGAATGTGTCCAGAGGAGGGCGACTAAAATGATCAAGGGTCTGGAGAACAAGCCCTATGAGGAGCGGCTTAAGGAGCTGGGCATGTTTAGCCTGAAGAAGAGAAGGCTGAGAGGAGATATGATAGCCATGTATAAATATGTGAGAGGAAGCCACAGGGAGGAGGGAGCAAGCTTGTTTTCTGCTTGCCTGGAGACTAGGACAAAGAACAATGGCTTCAAACTACAAGAAAGGAGATTCCATCTGAACATGAGGAAGAACTTCCTGACTGTGAGAGCCGTTCAGCTGTGGAACTCTCTGCCCCGGAGTGTGGTGGAGGCTCCTTCTTTGGAAGCTTTTAAACAGAGGCTGGATGGCCATCTGTCAGGGGTGATTTGAATGCAATATTCCTGCTTCTTGGCAGGGGGTTGGACTGGATGGCCCATGAGGTCTCTTCCAAATCTTTGATTCTATAATTCATCCATCTATCCATCTAACAATCCATCCATCTATCTATCTTCCATCCAACCATCTATCTATCTATCTATCTATCTATCTATCTATCTATCTATCTATCTACCTACCTACCTACCTATCAAGTCTTATCACCCATCCATCCATCTATCCATTGATCTATGTATATAAATATAAATAATTATTATTCATCCAACCATCTGTCTTCCATCCATCAATCTATAAAGTATTATTATTATTATTATTATTATTAAACTTTATTTGTACCCCGCTAGCATCTCCCAAGGGATTCGATGCGGCTTACAACAGGCCGGAGCCCAACACAACACAATACAACAGTACAACAATACAATATATAGCAAATAAAACAGTTAAAGCAGAAAAACAACAGCGATAACAATACAACAGGACATTATTAAAAACTGAGCCGGCTGAAGTGGGGTACAGGGTTAAAAGTGCTGAAGAAAGTGTCGGGGGATATGAGATTAAAGTATAAGTGCGGTGTGCGTTGAGGGTGATCTTGACTCTACTAAAGTGCTTCTGGGCTTTGGTAGTGGGGTTCCTAATCTGAGAAGGCACGTTGGAATAGCCAGGTTTTCAGGTTTTTTCTAAAAACCGCCAAGGTGGGGGCCTGCCTGAGATCTTTCGGGAGGGCATTCCAGAGGGCATGGAATAATAATATTTATTATTATGAATCCATCTTCCATCCATCCATCAATTCATCCATCTATTTTCCATCCATCTATCAAGTCTTATTATGACCCATCCATCCATAAATAAATAAATATTACTCACCCATCCATCTATCTTCCATCCATCCATCTATAAAGTATTATTACCGATCCATCAATATACATTTAAATATATTATTATTATTATTCATCCATCTATCCATCCATCAATTCATCCATCTATCCATCTATCAATCCATCCATCCATCTATCTTCCATCCATTATTATTATTATTATTATTATTATTATTATTATTATAACTTTATTTGTACCCCGCTAGCATCTCCCGCAGGACTCGATGCGGCTTACAAAGGCCAAGGCCTCAACACAATACAACAATATGATACATAGAGCAAATAAAACAGATTAAGCAAAAATGAACAACAACAATAACAATACATAGAGACATCAGAAACAATATAAAACTGGGCCAGGCCAGAGTGATGGGTACAGGATTAAAAGTGCTGATGTGGCAGGGGGTATGTAGGATTATAAATTAAGTGCAGAGTGTGGTGTACAACGGCCATTAGTTCAACTAAAGTGCTTCTAGGACTTGGTATTGGGGTTCCTAATCTGGAAAGGCACATCGGAAAAGCCAGGTCTTCAAGTTCTTTCTGAAGACTGCCAGCGAAGGGGCCCGTCTGAGGTCTTTTGGGAGGGCATTCCAGAGTCGGGGGGGCCACCACAGAAAAGGCCCTGTCTCGAGTCCCCGCCAAACGCGCCTGCGACGCGGGCGGGATCACGAGCAGGGCCTCTCCAGATGACCGAAGTAAAGTATTATTATCCATCTATATACATTTAAATAAATTATTATTATTATTATTCATCTATCTATCCATCTATCAATCCATCCATCTATCTTCCATCCATCCATCTATAAAGTATTATTATCCATCTATATACATTTAAATAAATTATTATTATTATTCATCCATCAATTCATCCATCTATCCATCTATCAAGTCTTATTATTGTGACCCATCCATCTATCCATCTATTTATATAAATAGAAATAAATAAATAAATTTTATTTATCCATCTATCTTCCACCCACTCCATTCATCTATCCATCCATTTATCTTCTATTTATCTAGATCAGGCCTGGGCCAACTTGGGCCCTCCAGCTGTTTTGGACTCCAACTCCCCTCCATGTATAAACAACGGCCACCTTCTGGAAGGACAAACTTGTCAGAAACGCGTTCGGTTGGCTGCAAAGTCCCGCGCATGCGCCTCTCCCTCTCCCTCCTTGGGACCAGCGAAGACCAACCCCCGCCCTCTTCCCCCTCTTCGGCCGCCGTCCCGACGCATGCGCAGCGGAGTGCGTAAGGGGGCGTGGCCAGGGCAGGGGCGGGGCTCAAGGCCCAGAAGAGAAGAAGCGGCGGAAGCGGAGGCCTCGCCTCGCAGGTGGGTCCCTTCACTGAGGCAGCTAGGCCTCGGCCTTTACTTGGGTATTTACACCAGGCCTGGGCCAACTTGGGCCCTCCAGGTGTTTTGGACTACAACTCCCACAATTCCTAACAGCCGCTAGGCTGTTAAGAATTGTGGGAGTTGTAGTCCAAAACACCTGGAGGGCCCAAGTTGGCCCAGGCCTGATCTGCAAGCAAGAGCAGCCTGGGAGTTGTAGTTTGACCCTTATTTCTGTGCCCTTTCCACACACCTGAATAAAATCCCACATTATCTGTGTTGAACTGGGTTATATGGCAGTGTGGACTCGGATAATCCAGTTCAAAGCAGATATTGAGGATTATCTGCCTTGACATTCTGGGTGGAAGGGCCCCTGGATGTTTTGAGCTGGGTTATATGAGTCTACACTGTTTCTGAATCCTATGTGCTCTAAACTGGGTTATATGAGTCTACACTGCTATATCATCCAGTTTCTGAATCCTATGTGCTTTGAACTGGGTTATATGAGTCTACACTGCTATCTCATCTAGTTTCTGAATCCTGTGTGCTTTGAACTGGGTTAAATGAGTCTACACTGCTATATCATCCAGTTTCTGAATCTTATGTGCTTTGAACTGGATTATATGAGTCTACACTGCTATATCATCCAGTTTCTGAATCCTGTGTGCTTTGAACTGGGTTATATGAGTCTACACTGCTATATCATCCAGTTTTTGAATCCTATGTGTTTTGGACTGGGTTATATGAGTCTACACTGCCAAATCATCCAGTTTCTGAATCCTATGTGCTTTGAACTGGGTTACATGAGTCTACACTTCTATAGCATCCATTCAACATAATATTATAAAAATCATATTAAACCATTAAAAACATATAATTACCAGTGTTGTCCTGTTAAAATAATTATCCAGCAGCATTGTCTAGCCATTCCATGTTAATTCTTTCTATTTCATTATTATTTATGAGTCTAAACTGCCATATCATCCAGAATCTGAATCCCAATTATCTGCTTTGAATTGGGTTATATGAGTCTTCACTGTATTATCATCCAGTGTCTGAATCCTGATTATATGCTTTGGAGCCTGCCATAGAATCCAGTTCAAAGCATATAATCTGGATTTAGTAACTGGATTACATGGTAATATAGATGGGGCCTTTGAGGTGTTTCCTGTGGAATTGTGGAATTCCTGTGGAATTCCAATTGTCTTCATTGTCTTTGTTGTTTGCTGTCTGGAAACCGCTGTGAGTCGCCCTCGGGCTTGAGATACAGCGGTATACAAGAATAGTAAATAAATAAATAAATAATAAAGATGGAGTCTCCTTCTCCGGAGGCTTTAAAACAGAGAGGGGATGGCCATCTGTTGGGAGTGTTTGGATTGTGTCTTTGTGTTTGGCAGAATGGGTGGGCTGGGTGGCCCTTCCAATTGTGTGATTCTGAGTGGCCCTTCCAATTGTGTGATTCTATCTGCCAAAACAGATAATCCACACGATGTTCTCTGAACTGGATTATATGAGTCTACACTGCCATATAATCCAGTTCAAAGCAGATAATCTGGATTTTAAATGGCAGTATAAAAGGGCCTAAGTCACACTGCAAGGGCCCTCTTTAGATGAGGAAATGGGCCGATCCTACCTTTAGATCAAGCCAGATAACTAAAATTGGAGAGCATTTCTGTTTATTTTGTGTGTGACCCCTTTAAGAGTCATAAATCGGAAGTCGGAATGTTTTGCTGTTCTGCAGGAAAATCATGAACTACTTTCTCCTTATCTTTGAATTTGTATGTCTTCTCTGAAGACTGTTTTTTCCAATGTGTATAAGATCTGATAGCAAACACTGGAAAGTATAGGAGGAAAAGATTACAAGGGATGAATGTGAGTGTATTGCAGGCAAAGTTAAGAACAAGAAGTGAGGGAAATCTTCCCCTTGGAAGGGGGAGAAATCCACTCCTGAAAGAGTTATTATCATGGGAAAAAAGGTGTCCACAATCCTTGTTTCCACAGCAAGGCAAATGTTCAAAATCCACACTATCACAGGGACACAAAGTGAGGTGAAATCTTCTGAACAGAGGCACAGACAACAAAACAAAAGGCACAGAAGTGTTAACCCTTGCCTATGCTATCCAAAACACACACACACACACATAAATAAAATGCACATGGTTTTAAAAGATGTTTATATGGAGGAATTGAAGAAATGCAATACAGGCAATCCCCAAACTGCAGACAAGATCGGTTTTGTAGGTTTGTTCTCAAGTTGAATTTATATTTAAGTTGGAACATGTACATTTCTAAGTGTAACTTCAGTCTCATACATACATATACTAGCCGTCCCCTGCCATGCGTTGCTGTGGCCCACATGGGGTTCTGTGTGAGAGTTTTGGCCCAATTCTATCGTTGGTGGGGTTCAGAATGCTCTTTGACTGTAGGTGAACTATAAATCCCAGCAACTACAACTCCCAAAGGTCAAAATTCTATTTCCCCCAAACTCCACCAGTGTTCACATTTGGGCATATTGAGTATTCATGTAGAGATTGGTCCAGATCTATCATTGTTTGAGTCCACAGTTATCTCTGGATGTAGGTGAACTACAACTCCAAAACCAAAGGACACTGCCCACCAAACCCTTCCAGTATTTTCTGTTGGTAATGGGAGAACTGTGTGCCAAGTTTGGTTCAATTCCATTGTTGGTGGGATTCAGAATACTCTTTTATTGTGGGTGTACTATAAATCCCAGCAACTACAACTCCCAAATGGCAAAATCATTTTTTTTTGAGTGAAGGACATACATTGGGTTGTTAGGTGTCTTGTGTCCAAATTTGGTGTCAATTCATCCAATGGGTTTTGAGTTCTGTTAATCCCACAAACGAACATTACATTTTTATTTATATAGATTTATTTATACCCGCCCTTCTCACTCCGAAGAGGACAGGTGGTGCAATACCAGCTAAACAGTACAATTTCTCCAGTGGTGTTGGGCATAGACGTCCTGTGATAATGTGGCATGTCTCATTAAGGGCCACATCCACTGAGTTAACATGGTGAGACGTATTCCACACTGGGCATGCATTTTCAGCAGCAAAATGCAAGGGCAGATGTCTTCACTGTTTCTATATAAACCACCAACCAATTTTGCCTCCATTGGATTGACAAAGGCAGAGAGTCTGACAAACCAGATTTGTCCCATTTTGCCACTTTGATTTCTAAATACAGAATCCCTTTTGATGTGTTGCAGCGAAAACATCCTTTTTTCACGCAGAAGTGTCTAAATAGATATATTCGCCTGACATTTAAGCCAGGAATTGCATGCAGAGAAGTGAGAGGGGGAAGCTCGTTTTTGCAGAGCTCAGGATGGAAACTAGGTGGGTTATATGAGAAGAAAAGCCACTCTCTCTTAAAGAGTCTGGGTCAACAACAGTTTTCCCAGTACAATGGCATCATGTCAATGATGTGTCAGATTTCCTCCAGATGAAGGAAGGAAGCGACGTCCATTGACTTCCATAGCGGTGATTCATGTTGACATGAGGGCCTTCCAGAGGAAAAGTGTGCTGTACTTTTGGTTTCTGCTTAGAGAGTGGTGAAAGTGAGACTGACGCACAGTCATCTCTTGAAAGCAGGTTTCGCTGGAGGCTTCCCATTTCACTGAATTCAAGTATCGCTTTTATTCATGCAGAAAGTTTTTTCTAAGTGTCTCCATGCATCTGCGATTTATTTAGTAGAGGCTTTTTGGCCGGGATTGGTCTTGCTATTCTGAAGTCGGACATGAAGCCTGCAGGTAAAAAGGGGAGATAAACACAGGTTAAAATGCAATGGAAGGGAGTAAGATGACAGCATTAAGACTAGGACTTTACAAGGAATTTTTGATTCAAGGCAATAAAGGCACCTCAACATATTCTACGTCTGTAAATTGGGTTGGGATCCCTTGGCACTCTCTGTGTTGTACTGTTGTGTTTGTGTCTGATGTTCATGTTGATGTTCATGATGGGAATGGGGGTGGTGTTCCTGATGATGGGTCTGGGGATGAGGGTTTGTTCAGGCCTGAGTTAAGTTCAGAAGAGAGGCCTGAGCAAGGCCACATTCCTGGGAGAGACCTTTCACCGCTTTTCTCAGAACAACTGTCTGAAAATGATGCTGAGACTGAGTTGTCAGGTGCAGGAGTTAATGAGGGAGAAGATAGTGAAACCTTGGACAGAAAGCAAAGTTTTAGTAAATAATAATAATGATATTTACAGCGAAAGGGGGTGAAAACATTTGTGATGAGATGATAGGAAACTGGGAAGAGAAAAATAGAAAAAGGAAAACAGAGAAAAACAGAGGAAAAGAGAAAAAAAGTATTATATTATTTTTATACCCCGCCAACCATCTTCCCTAGAAGATTCAAGGCGTCTTACAAGGGACACGCCCAAGATTACAATTAAAACGCACATGTGAAACACTTTAACCAATTAAAACATCAGATAAAACAAATAACACAATTGAAAGCAATATAAAAACAATACGGCTGAAAAAAACATAGCTGAGGTACAGATTCAATGAATGCAATACATTTTTACAGGAGCGCAGGAAAGTGCAACAATACAGTAAACTGGGCAGGAAATACTGTCAAAGACATGTTGAGGTAGGACGTYTGCCAGTGTAAAATGTGGGCRGGTGTAAGTGCAGAACTTCAAGTAGGGACAAGAAAGTTACTGGTGAGCTGCTTAGTCAAAAGTGCACCGGAACATCCAGGTTTTTAGTTGACTCCAAAAGGAGGACAAGTTGGGAGCCTGTCTGATCTCTGTAGGGAGGGAGTTTCAGAGCCAGGGGGCCACCACCGAGAAGGTTCTCTACCTCATCCCCATCAACTGTGCATGTGACAGCGCGGGGGGGGGGGAGAGCAGTGCCTCCCCAGAAGATCTCAAGGTACACAGTGGTTCATAGGGAAAGATGCGATCGCGAAGATAAGCAGGCCCCGAAACGTTTAGGGCTTTATAGGTGATGACCTGCACATTGAATTGGGACCGGAAACTTATTGGGAACCAGTGGAGCTGTTTAAACAGGAAGGTTGATCGCTCTCTGTAACCAGCTCCTGCGAGTAAAACAGGCAGAGCTTTCAGAGACTGAGGCATTCAGTTCCTCTACAACAAAAGAAAAATAACAAACCATTATCTGGTGGGGAAGAAAGAAGTTTTGGGTACTGGAAAAGGTTTATAATGATTCATGGGAGATAGTTGCCTCAGATGAGTCAATGTTGTTATTTATCATGATCTTGCTTCCAAGTGCTCTGAGTTTCATGTACCAAGTTTTTGCCAAGCCTAACTTTTGCCTATGGGATTTTCCTGCTGTTTTGTTTCATGGTTTCAAGTGCCTTGCTTCATGGATTTCCATATACTAATGCAGGGGTCCACAAACTTTTTAAACAGAGGGCCAGGCCACAGTCCCTCAAACTGTTGGAGGGCCGGATTATAATTTGAAAAAAAAAATGAATTAATTCCTATACACACTGCACATATCTTATTTGTAATGCAAAAGACACTTTAAAACAATACAATAATTAAAATGAGGAACAATTTTAACAAATATAAACTTATTAGTATTTCAGTGGGAAGTGTGGCCCTGCTTTTGGCTGATGAGATAGGATTGTTGTTGTTGTTGTTGTTGTGTGCTTTCAAGTCATTTCAGACTTAGGTTGACCCTGAGCGAGGGCCGGGTGAATGACCTTAGAGGGCCGTATCCGGCCCCCGGGCCTTAGTTTGAGGACCCCTGTACTAATGGATCTTGTTTCTCTTTGAAGCTTATGGACTATTTTGGATGTTGAACTTTTACTGTTTTGCGATTTTTTAAATTGCTTTGCCTATATATATTCTACAATAAACTGCTTGCTGATTTTACCAAGCTGGTGTGTTATTTAAGGTGAGAGGTGTTCCTCTCTGGTGTATGACATATACCAACATTTTTAAAATAAATCTTTGGCCTCGTGGCTTATACTACTAAGAGATGAAGACCAAAACAAATTGTGGAAGTGGTTGATAACCTCTATTGAAATGAATAAAATCATCCCACACTGCGTTGTGCAAATGTGTATGGTGTGAATAGCCGTAAAATGCAAATGGTTTTCCTTTTTTTAGAAAACCTAAATTGTTCCTTTGTGAAGCTCAAAACATGGCGGTGGGAAAATAGACAGTAAGCATTTGCATGCCGTTCTTGTTCCAAAACAGGGCCTCTTTGAAAGCATGGGGCAAAGTCTTTGGCCGACTAACCGAAAGATAGCGGTTTTCGCTTTTGAAAGGCTTACTTGTTTCAGGTACTGAAACAGGAAGGAATTCAAAAGGGGGAAATTCAGATGCAAGAAACCTCTGTTCCTGCAGGTTTTCTGACTTAATGAGTTTAGTTTTAGTTTAATACCTGAATTTAGCTTTCAAAAAAGAAATAAACAAAGTGGTTTACCCTTCAAGAAAGGAGAAGAATATACTCCAACAAAACAATAATACCTACAAAACCCTGAACGGTTTGGGACCCGCCTACCTGCATGACCGCATTTCTGGGTACGAACCCACACGATCCCTTTGATCATCTGGGGAGGCCCTGCTTGCGCTCCCACCTCCATCACTGGCACGATTGGTGGGGACGAGGGAGAGGGCCTTCTCGGTGGTGGCCCCTGGACTCTGGAACTCACTGCCCAAGGACATCAGGCATGCCCCAACTTTGGCAGTTTTTAGGAGGAGTCTGAAAACGTGGTTGCTCCAGTGTGCCTTCCCAGAATAAGGAAATACTCTCAACAATAGGTCCTCTAACTGCACTTTATCATTGATTTAGGATTATTTGCTTGCCCCATCTCTCGCCAAAAATTCTATCCCAGTATATTACCTTGTTCATGCCCAGCATTATTTTTTAATTTTTAATTATCACATTTGGCCCAGCCATAGGTTTTTAAATGCTTGTTGACTGTTGCTGTTTATTGTTTACTAGCCGTCCCCTGCCACGCGTTGCTGTGGCCCACATGGGGGTTCTGTGTGGGAGGTTTGGCCCAATTCTCTCATTGGTGGGGTTCAGAATGCTCTGTGATTGTAGGTGAACTATAAATCCCAGCAACTACAACTCCTGAATGTCAAGATTCTATTTTCCCCAAACTCCACCATTGCTCACATTTGGGCATATTGAGTATTTATGTAGAATTTGGTCCAGATCCATCATTGTTTGAGTCCACAGTGATCTCTGGATGTAGTGAACTACAACTCCAAAACCAAAGGACACTGCCCACCAAACCCATCCAGTATTTTCTGTTGGTCATGGGAGAACTGTGTGACAAGTTTGGTTCAGTTCCATCATTGGTGGGGTTCAGAATGCTCTTTGATTGTAGGTGAACTATAAATCCCAGCAACTACAACTCCCAAATGACAAAATCAATTTTTTTGAATGAAGGACATACATTGGGTTGCTAGGTGTCTTGTGTCCAAATTTGGTGTCAATTCGTCCAGTGCTATTTGAGTTCTGTTAATACCACAAACTAAAATTACATTTTATTTATATAGATTTTTTGTTTATGAGATTTATTTTGATTGTTTTGTATTGATGTTTTGTTATTGATTTTATTATGGTTGTTCTATGGGGTCGGCCTCATGTAAGCCGCACCGAACCCCTTGGGGAGATGGTAGTGGGGTATAAATAAAGTATTATTATTATTATTATTATTATTATTATTATTATAATATTCCTCACCATTAAAACTGAACATAGGTTCTAAAATGGTGATAGATAGAATGGGGCTTTCCAGATGCATTGAAAGTAAACTCCCTAAACAGGATCAATTGCCACTAATGGTGGGATAAATAGTTTTCCATCCTCTGTCGAAGGTGAAGAAGGGTGAGTTCAATGAATCTTTGGAAGGAAATGCAACAGTCAATCTTCCTTTTCCTTCCGTTTGCAGTGAGCGACCCACCGTCCTGCTGCCCCTCCTCAAAGATGGTGAAGCTGGACATCCACACGTTGGCGCATCACCTCAAGCAGGAACGGCTGTATGTGAATTCGGAAAAGCAGCTTATCCAGCGGCTGAATGCGGAAGTGCTGAAGACGGCGGAAAAGCTGTACCGCACGGCATGGATCTCTAAGCAGCAGAGGATTAACTTGGACCGACTCATCATAACAAGGTAATAAACGGGGCATTCAAAATGCTTTTCCTCCTCTAAAATAGATAGGGAAGCTGTGAATGGATAATATGTCATAGCTATAATAATACACGTCAGACAGAACATTTTACGTAATAATAATAATAATCTTTATTCATACCTCGCCACCATCTCCCCAATGGGGACTCAGAGCAGCTTACATGGGGCCAAGTCCGGACAACATAATACAACAAAATAAAAGCAATAAACAACATTATCAAATTTCATTAAAAAAAAAAAGCAGACACAGTCATAAAATAACATTCCAATAAGCACAATCACAATAACAAGGGGCGGGCCACATGTACAGGATAAAAACAATGCTAAAACTCTAATGACATAAAAATAGGAGCAAGTTATCTGCAGGGAACTAGTAAAAACATACATAGTTGTGAAGCTAAACTTCCCGTTTGGAGGGCATGTGTTCCAGGGGGAAGAGCTTTGAGGGGTGCAATGGTGTCATATTGTGCACCTACTCGCCAAAGGCGCAGCGGAAGAGCCAAGTTTTAAGGTTCTTTTTTAATGTTTCTAGAGAAGGGGCTTTCCTGATCTCTCCAGGTAATGAGCTCCAAAATCGGGGAGCCACAGAGGAGAAGGCTCTCTCCCATATGCCCACAAGATGAGATTGGTAGGGGTGAAAGGAGGGCCTCCCCCAACGATCTAAGGGCCCGGTTGGTACGTGGAGAGAGATACGGTCACGAATGTAAGCGGGCCCTAAACCGTTTAGGGCTTTATAGGTGATGACCTGTACCTTGAATTGGGACCGGAAAATAAACAACAGCCAGTGGAGCTCCTTAAACATGTGAGTTGACTGCTCCCTATAACTAGCCCCAGTTATTAACCTGGCTGCTGAACGTAGACAAGTTGTAATTTCCGGGCCGTCTTCAAGGGTAGCCCCACGTAGAGTGTATCACAGTAGTCCAGTCTAGAGGTAACTAAGGCGTGGACCACCATGGTCAAGTCAGACTTCATGAGGTATGGTCGCACCTGGCGCACAAATTTTAACTGTGCGAAGGCCCTCCTGGCCACCGCCGACACCTGCGCATCAAGCGTCAGCGCAGAGTCCAGGAGGACCCCCAAGCTGCGAACCTGTGATTTCAGGGGGAGCGCAACCCCGTCCAGCACAGGTTGCCACCCAATACCCCGGTCAGACGGGCGACTGACCTGGAGGACCTCTTTCTTGTCAGGATTGATCCTCAGCTTGTTCATCCTCATCCAGACCATCACAGCGGCCAGGCACTGGTCTAATATCCTCGGGGCTTCCTTGGAGTCTGGTGGAAAAGAGTAGTGGAGTTGGGTGTCATCTGCGTAGAGGTGGCACCGCACTCCAAAACTCTGGATGACCTCTCCCAGCGGTTTCATGTAGGGGACTCAATGTACATATACATGGCAAACATTCAGTGCCATAGAAACACAACATAGATAGACAGACACAGAGGCAATTTAACATTCCAGCTTTTTCTTGAGGGTATTCTGGCCACCAGGGGAGCTGTCCCTTCACCGACCATTTGTGACGCTGATGAAGTACTTCCTCATTCTTTGCATGCTTGCTGGAGATTTTTATGGCCTCGTCAATTAGTTAAATTTGCCTCCCCACATAAGCGGTACCTAAATTTCCTACTCGACAGATGCAACTATCTTTTGGGCTGCAAAGGTTGACAGCAAGCTACACAAATTGTTCAGAAGCTCACTCCCACCTGGGTTGGCTTCGAACTCATGACCTTTCGGTCAGTAGTGATCTTAATGCAGCTGATTCCCAGCCTGCTGCTCCGTAGTCCTTGTGCCTTGGTCCATTCATTGCTGGTTGCTACTTTCCAGAGGATGTCAGGTGGTGTGATACCAGCTAAACAGTGTGATTTCTCCAAATCTGAGCATTAGATTTGATTAAATATGGGTACTTGGCATGCTTTTCTTTGGGTTTTCCATGTGAACTAACTCTGCAAATGCCACATTTCAGTTGTGATTAAAGGCTCCGTTATTTTGTTTTCCTTCAGCGCCGAAGCCTCCCCGGCCGAATGTTGCCAACATGCAAAAGTCTTGGAAGACACGCAGTTTGTGGACGGCTACAAGCAGCTGGGCTTCCAGGAGACGGCCTATGGGGAGTTCCTCAACCGCCTGCGCGAGAACCCGCGCCTCATCGCCTCCTGCCTGGTGGCTGGCGAGAAGCTCAACCAGGAGAACACCCAGAGCGTCATTCATACCGTTTTCACCTCCATCTACGGCAACTGCATCATGCCGGAAGACGAAAGCTACCTCCTCCAGGTCTTGCGCTACCTGATTGAGTTTGAGCTCAAGGAGAGCGACAACCCCCGGCGGCTGCTGCGGAGAGGCACCTGCGCCTTCAGCATCCTCTTCAAGCTCTTCTCGGAGGGGCTCTTCTCGGCCAAGCTCTTCCTCACGGCCACTCTGCACGAGCCCATCATGCAGCTGCTGGTGGAGGATGAAGACCACCTGGAGACCGACCCCCACAAGCTGACCGAGCGCTTCTCCCCGGCCCAGCAGGAGAAGCTCTTTGGGGAGAAGGGCACCGAGCGCTTCCGGCAGAAGGTCCAGGAGATGGTGGAGGCCAACGAGGCCAAGCTGGTGGCCCTGGTCAACAAGTTCATCGGCTACCTCAAGCAGAACACCTACTGCTTCCCCCACAGCCTGCGCTGGATCGTGTCCCAGATGTACAAGACCCTCTCCTGCGTTGACAGGCTGGACGTCGGGGAAGTGAGGGCCATGTGCACGGACCTCCTCCTGGCCTGCTTCATTTGCCCGGCGGTTGTCAATCCCGAGCAGTATGGGATTATTTCGGATGCTCCCATCAATGAAGTGGCGCGGTTTAACCTGATGCAGGTATGATGGTCACTTCAAAATCTATATACCGTATATACTCGAGTATAAGCCGAACCAAATATAAACTGAGGCACCTAATTTTATATTTAATAGAATACCAAGTCTGCAAATTTTGTGTTTTGTTTGTTTGTCTGTCTGTTTTTTTAATGCAATACAACTGTTTTGGTTCGTTCCTGACACAATAAATAAATAAACCCAATTTTACCAGAAAAACTGGGAAAACGTATTGACTTGAGTATAAGCCGAGGGTGGGAAATGCAGCAGCTACTGCTAAATTTCAAAATAAAAACAGACAACAATAAAATTACATTAATTGAGGCATCAGAAGGTTAAATGTTTTTGAGTATTTACATAACACTGTAATTTAAGATTGTTCAACTCTGATTATAAGCTGCTTCAATGTAAATGTGTTTATGCATCCTTCCAATAATAATAGAGTAACATAATAAATGTAATAATAATAATAATAATAATAATAATAGAGTAAAGTAATACATGTAATAACAACAATTATAAAGTAAAATAATAATGCAATAATAATAGAGTAAAATGATAAATGTAATAATAACAATAGTAGAGTAAAATAATAAATGTAATAATAACAATAGTAGAGTAAAATAATACATGTAATAATAACAACAGTAATAAAGTAAAATAATAATGCAATAATAATAGAGTAAAATGATAGATGTAATAAAAATAATAGAGTAAAATAATACATGTAATAAAAATCATAAATAACCTTGACCCGAGTATAAGCCGAGAGGAACATTTTTAGCCTATAAAAAAGGCTGAAAAACTAGGCTTATACTCGATTATATACAATAAATAAAAATGTAACGTTCATTTGTGGGGAAAACATAACTCAGAAACCACTGGATGAATTGACACAAAATTTTGACACAATACACCTAACAGTCCAAGTGTCCATCACCCCTAAAACATGCACAAAAAACCCCCAGCAGAACGGACTTAAAACCCCTTTTAGAAGTTTAGTGCCTCTTTAGTGTTTGCCAGGGGCCACTTTGCCCATTTGGTGCCTTTTTGAAGTTGTTTAAGGCCTCTTGTACATATACACATACACTCATATACACATGCACACATACATACACAAGCACACACAAATATACACATATATACATATACACACATACAAATATACGCATATATATGCATATACACAAGCACACACATATACATAATATACAAGTATACATATAAACACAGAAATGCACAAATATACTCACACACAAAACATATACACAGACTGGGCCATAGCAACGCGTGGCAGTGGATAGCTAGTAGGTATATAAATTCATGTGTCTTCACCTATTGTGTGTGTGTTAGTGTCACATTCTGTCTCTGTTTTCCCATTGTAGGTTGGGAGACTTCTGCAGCAGCTGGCCATGACCAGTTCAGAAGAAGGAGACCCCCGCACCAAGAGCCACCTGGGTAAATTTGACAAAGTAAGAGCCAAGATTGTCGCAAGTGTCTCTTTATATATGCCTCCCCTTTCTCTCTCCATATGATTTTTCTCTGTATTATTTTGCATTATTATTATTATTGTTGTATTTTTATGCTTTACTTATCCTATTGCGATTTTTATTTCATGCTTTTGTGTTATGTTGTTGTTATGTTATTGGGGAGATGGTGGCGGGGTATAAAGTTTATTATTATTATTATTATTATTATTATTATTATTATTATTATTATTATATGCTTCATGTTTTCTTTTTCCCCGTGGGCTTGAAATAATAGCCATAGAAATACTCCTGCTGTGACTAGGAAGAGTTGTGTATGTATCATAGTCGACCTCATATACCATCAAATTTTTACATTACAATATTATTATATTATTATTATTATTATATGTTATTATATTATTGTTTTGTATTTCATAATAATATTGATAATAACGTTTTAATGTAATGCAATATAATATTAACAATATTAACAATATCAATGTTGTATGTATATATAATATATTTTTAGTGTAGCACAATATTGGTATTATATATTACTATATTGTACTCTACAATATTACAGTAATATTGATTCCATTTTATAGGGCTGTGTGGCTGCTTTCCTGGATGTCGTCATCGGTGGCCGCGCTGTGGAGACCCCTCCCATGTCGTCGGTGAACCTTCTGGAAGGGCTGAGCAGAACCGTGGTTTACATGACGTACGGACAACTTACGACCCTAGTAGGTTTCCCAGGCTGTCTGTCATTGCCGCAGGAAGGCAAACAGGGTGTGCTTGTGGCCGTTGTTTTCCAAAAACGACATCCCTCTTCTTAGGTCAGCTTTATGCGGAATGTGATGTCCGGGGACCAGCTGAAGGAGGACCGCATGGCCCTGGAGAGCCTTCTTCTGAACCTGCCCCAGAACAAGCCGGGCAAGAGCAGCAGCCTCGAAATGACACCGTACAACACCCCACAGCTCTCTCCCGCAACCACCCCGGCCAACAAAAAGAACCGCTTGCCTATAGGTGAGGATGCGCTGGTCTTTGTTTATGGGGGCTGCGCTCTACTCTTTGTGGTTTTCCAAAACATGTAATGGTCAAATGATGCAGTAGATCTTGCTTTCTTCAAAGTGTGGGATTCAAGGCCAAGTAACTAAAGTTATTGTTGATGCGGTATCTCCCGCTTTCTTCAAAGTTTGGGATTCAAGGCCAAGTAACTAAAGTTGTTGTTGATGTTGCTGTTATTATGATTATTTGAAACACAACAAGATGAGTCTACAGCAGACAAGATCACTCTGCTGGCTGTTGTATTGGATCACACGTCGGAGTGTCTAGGACTGTGTGATGTATTGGCGAATGATGCGTGCAGATCTGAGTAGGGTGGCCTTTTGCAACTAGCAGATGGTCATTTTGTCAACGCAGATTGTGTTTAAGTGCAGGCCAAGGTCTTTAGGCACTGCACCCAGTGTGCTGATTACCACTGGGAACACCTTTACCGGCTTATGCCAGAGTCTTTGCACAGTCTTAATAATAATAATAATAATAATAATAATAATAATAATAATAATAACTATTATTATTATGCTGATGTTTGTTTACACCCCATTTGATCTCCCCGAAAGGGGACTCAAAGCAGTTTAACATCGAATCATAGAATTATAGAGTTGGAAGAGACTACATGGGTCATCTATTCCAACCCCCTGCCATGCAGGAAAAGCACAATCAAAGCACCCCCAACAGATGGCTACCCAGTTATAATGATGGTGATGGTGATGATGATGATAGAGTTGGAAGAGACCACATGGGCCATCTAGTCCAACCCCCTCCCATGCAGGAAAGGCACAATCCAAGCATCCCCAACAGATGGCCACCCAGTTATAATGATGATAGAGTTGGAAAAGGCCACATGGGCTGTCTAGTCCAACCGCCTGCCATGCAGGAAAAGCACAATCAAAGCACCCCTGATAAATGGCCATCCAGTTAGGATGACGATAGCGTTGGAAAAGGCCACATGGGGCATCTAGTCCAACCGCCTGCCATGCAGGAAAAGCACCATCAAAGCACCCCCAACAGATGGCCACCCAATTGTGATGATGGTTATGATGATAGAGTTGGAAGAGACCACATGGGCTGTCCAGTCCAACCCCCTGCCATGCAGGAAAAGCACAATCAAATCGCCCCCAACAGATGGCCATCCAGTTATAATGATGATGATGATAGAGTTGGAAAAGGCCACATGGGCCATCTAGTCCAACCGCCTGCCATGCAGGAAAAGCACCATCAAAGCACCCCAACCAATGGCCATCCAGTCATAATAATAGTAATGATAATAGCGTTAGAAGAGACGACATGGGCCATCTCATCCAACCCCCTGCCATGCTGGGAGGCACAATCAAAGCACCCCCAACAGATGGCCATATTCACAGCTAAAACCACAGCACCCCCTGAATTGATCTTAAGTTTGGTTGCACAAAAGCAAGAGCTATATCTGTAAAGTGAAATATTGTGTATCTGAGTTGCTCTGAGTTTTCTGGGCTGTACGGCCATGTTCCAGAAGCATTCTCTTCTGATGCTTCACCCACATCTATGGCAGGCATCCTCAGAGGTTGAGAGGTCTGTTGGAAACTAGGCAAGTGGGGTTTATATATCTGTGGAATGACGTCCAGGGTGGGAGAAAGAACTCTTGTATGTTTGAGCCAAATGTGAAAGTTGCAATTGGCCACCTTGATTAGAACTGAATAGCCTTGCAGCTTCAAAGCTTAGCTTGTTGCTGCCTGTGGGGATTGTTGGTTGGGAGGTGTTAGCTGGCCCTGATTGTTTCATGCCTGGCATTCCACTGTTTTCTGAGTGTTTTTCTTTATTTACTGTCCTGATTTTAGAGTTTTTAAATACTGGTAGGCAGATTTTCAGGGTTTCCTCCTTTCTGTTGAAACTGTCCACGTGCTTGTGGATTTCAGTGGCTTCTCTGTGTATTCCGACATGGTGGTTGTGAGAGTGGTCCAGCATTTCTGTGTTTTCGAATAATACGCTACGAACCAACCTGAACGCAGCATATTATTTGAAAACACATGAAGGACCCTTTTGCGTGAGCAGTCAGCTGCAAGGGATCGGGCCGGAATCAAAACAAACCCGCCGTGCAGGTCCCTGCATGTTTAATGTAAGACTAAAAAAATAATGTAGTGATATTTTGGTAACCGCCCAGCGCCACATAAAGTCTGCGTAGGCGCAAAAACTCCATCTTTGGATGTGCTGCACTGTGGCAGACTTGCCGTGTTGTTTCGAAGCTAGATCTTTCCAGTGTCCAACCATTCCTCCTGGCTTATGTCTCCCTTTGCCTCTGCATATGTTTATATATATATATTTTACAACCGGACAGTGTTTTGTCTCATCCAACGGCCTGACTTCTGTTTCTCTTTAACGCTGTCAACTCAGGACAACAGTTGGCAGCCATGACGGCCTGGGAAACCTCCGCCAACAACCTGACCGCTCACATAAACCTAGTAACCCCATTTGGTGGGTAGCAGAAACCCTCTCCTCCTCCCGCTCTGTTAGTGTTGCTGTGCAGCCACGCTTCGCCTGCATGTTTTGTTCAGTTCGGGAGAGTAGTAAATAGTCAAGAGTTTGACTTACAAGGCACCAAAAAACAATAAGGCTTAGGCATATGCAACTAGATGTTGATTGGAGTGCTAGTGGATGTGCATCTTCTTTCTGCACTTCCTCTCCTTCCTTCCTCCATTTCCCTTTTCCCTCTTTTCTTTCCATCCTTTCTTCTTCTTCCCTTCTTTTCCCTCATAGACCCTCCTGCTATAGTTTCCCTTCCTTTCTCTTCTTTTCTTTCTCCCTACCCCCTTTCTGTCTTCTTTCTTTCCATTTTCTTTCTTGGTCTTGCCTTCCTTTTCTTTCCTCTCTCCCTTCGTCCCTTCTTTCTTCCATTCCATTTCTCCCCCCTCCCCCTCATAATTTTTTTCCTTTCTCTTCCTTCCTTCTTCTTTGGACCTTCCTCCCTTCCCTTTTCTCCTTCTCTCTTTCGTTCCTTCTTGTCTTCCCTTTCCTCCTTCCTTTCCTATTTTCCCTCATATGCTTTCCTGCTATTTTTCCCATTCATTTCCCTTCTTTTCTTTCCCTCCCTCCCACCCCCCTCTCTTTCTGTCCATTCTCTTTCTTGGACTTGCCTTCATTTTCCTCTCTCCCGTCTTTCTTCCCTCCCCTCATACTTTTTCTTCCCTTCTTACTCTTTCTTCCCTTTGCTCCTTCTATACCTTCCCTTCCTTCCTTCCCTCCTTTTTCTTTCCCTTCCTCTTTCCCCTTGTTCCTTCCTTCCTTCCTTCTTTCCCTCCTTCCTTCCTTCCTTCCTTCCTTCCTTCCTTCCTTTCGTTTTCTTTCCTTTGCTCCTCTCATACCTTTACCCCTTCCCTTTCTCTTCCTTCCTTCCCTCCTTTTTCTTTCTCCTTCCTCCTTTTCCCCCTTCTTTCCTTCCTTCCTTCTTTTCTTCTCTCTGTTCCCTTGTTTTACTTTCATTTTCTTTCTTCCTTCCCTCTTCTTTTCCTTTCTCTTTCTTTCCTTTTCTCCTCTCATACCTTTATCCCGTTCTCTTTCTCTTCCTTCCTTCCTTCCCTCCTTTTTCTTTCTCCTTCCTCCCTTTTTCCTCCCTCCCTCCCTCCCTTCCTTCCTTCCTTCCTTCCTTCCTTCCTTCCTTCCTTCCTTACTTCTTTCTTCCTTCTTCTTTCTTTTCTCTTCTTCCCTCCCTTCCCTCCTTTTTCTTTCTCCCTTCCTCCCTTCTTCTTTTTTCTCCTTCCTTCTTCTTTCCTTCCCTTCTTCTTCTTTCTTTCTTTCCTGTTTTCTTTCTCTTCCTTCCCCTTTTCTTCTTCTATTCCTTTCTCTTTCCCTTTCTTTTTCTTCCCCTTCTTCTCTCTTTCCTTCCTTTCTCTTCCTTCCTTCCTTCCCTTCCTTCCTTCCTTCTTCTTCCTCCTTCCTTCCCTCCTTCCCTTTTCTTTTCCCTTTCTTTCCTTTCCCCTTTTTCTTCCCTTCCTCCCTTCTTTCCTCTTCCTCTCCTTCCTCTTTTCTTTCTTCCCTCCCCTTCCTCCCTTTTCTATTCCTTTCTCTCTTTTTGCTCCTCTCATACCTACCCCTTCCCTTTCTTTATCCTTCCTTCCTCTTCCCTTCTCTTGCTTTCATTTTCTTTCTTCCCCCCTTCCCTCCCTCTTCTATTCCTTTCTTTTCCCTTCTTTCCTTTCCCTTTGCTCCTCTCATGCCAACTCCGTCCCTTTCTTCCCTCTCTTTTCCTTCCTTTTCCCTTTTCAATTTCTTTCTTCCCTCCCTCTCCCCACTCCCTCCTCTATTCCTTTCTCTTCCTTTTATCCTTTGCTTCTTTCATACTTTTACGCCCTTCCCTTTTTCTTCCTTCCCTCCTTTTACATTCTTCCCCTTCCTTTCCTTCCTTCCTTTCATTCCCTTCTTTTTCTTTCCTTCTTTTCATATACATGTCACCAAGCAGCAGCCAATCCGCTTCACTCCCTTTCTTTCCAGACCACATGACAGAGGGCCACTTCACCCGGTAAAAGCCAATCTGATACATTCCTTTTCTTTCTCTCCGCTTTGGGCCTAAAAAGTATTGTTCAAAACGCTCAATTATTTAAATCTGGGCAATGAACGGTCTGTGTTTCAAGTTTGGTCCAGCCATGTAGAAGTCCTTGAGGTACAAACATAAATAAATACTTTGCCTTACTTATAGATAGATAGATAGATAGATAGATAGATAGATAGATAGATGAATCTTTGCAAGTGTGTTTTCTCTTTCTATGAGAGGTGACACAACCCCATCAGTCAAAATTCTTCTGGGCTATACATTTTTGAAGCTTCTGGCCATTAGACCTTTGGCAGGGACTTACTAATTTAAGGCAATCCCCTTCCAACACAAAACATCGCATTTGTTTCCAACCAAAAATGTGTGTCGTCGCTCTGGTTCTGCACAGCTTCTGTTGTTTTGCCGTCTCCTTGCCATGCATGTGCTCTTTGTGCAGTCTGTCTTTGCTTCCTCTTTCCAAAAGTATCCAAATATTAAGTGCCATATATATATATATATATATATATATATATATATATATATATGTAAAAATAAAACCTTTTCCAGCCACCCGCAGTCGGAGCCGGTCAAATATGCAAGCGGATCAGCACTTTGACCACGATGGCTTATCCCAAGAGACGATACAGGAGGTCCAGCCGGATGAAGTCTTGGTCATTTCACTTGGGACCGGACCCCAAATCACACCGGGAATGATGTCGGAAAATGAGGTAATTGGCAATAGGATAGAAGTCCTGAAGTTTCGCAGTATTGGGGTGCAAACGGCTGGGGGAAAGTATAATAATAATATACAACTACTAATAAATATTATTAAAAATAATAAAATATTGTTAAATACTAATAAAAATATTAAATGCTAATAAAATATTAAAAATAATTAAATTAAAAAGAGATAATAAATATTAAGGGTTTTTTTTTTTGTCGTGCCAGGAGTGACTTGAGAAACTGCAAGTCACTCCTGGTGTGTGAGAATTGGCCGTCCGCAAGGATGTTGCCCGGGGGACGCCCAGATTTTGATGTTTTATCATCCTTGTGGGAGGCTTCTCTCATGTCTCCATATGAGGAGCTGGAGCTGATAGAGGGAGCTCATCCGCCTCTCCCCGGATTCAAACCTGCAACCTGTCGGTCTTCAGTCCTGCTGGCACAGGGGTTTAACCCACTGCACCACCGGGGGCTCCAAATATTAAGTATTGATAATAAATATTAAACACTAATAAGAAATATTAAATACATCGCTGTCAAAGGCTTTCATGGCCAGAATCGCTGAGTTGCTGTGAGTTTTCTGGGCTGTAAGTCCATGTTCCAGAAGCATTATCTCCTGACATTTTGCCCTCATCTATGGCAGGCATCCTCAGAGGTCTCTTGGAAACTAGACAGGTGAGGTTTATATATCTCTGGAATAATGTCCAGGGTGGAAGAAAGAACTCTTGTCTGTTTGAGGCAAGTGTGAATGGCGCAATTGGCCACCTTGATTAGCATTTATTTATTTATTTATTTATGGTATTTGTATACCGCTTTTCTCACCCCGAGGGGGACTCAAAGCAATTCACACATAAGCAATGGCAAAATTCAATGCCAGTACAAACAATTACAATTGGCCTTGTAGCTTCAAAGACTGGCTTCTTCCTGCCTGGAGAATCCTTTGTTGGGAATTGTTAGCTGGCCCTGATTGTTTCCTCTCTGGAAACAGAAAACAGTGGAAATCCAAACAGGAAACAGTCAGGGCTAGCTAACAGCTCCCAACAAAGGATTCCCTCAGGCAGGAAGCAGCCAGGCTTTGAAGCTACAAGGCCAATTGTAATTGTTTGTACTGGCATTGAATTTTGCCATTGCTTATGTGTGAATTGCTTTGAAGCTGCAAGGCCATTCAAGGCTAATCAAGCTAGCCAATGGCAACATTTGCCTCCAACAGGCAAGAGTTCTTTCTTCCACCCTCGACATTATTCCACAGATATATAAACCCCACTTGAATAGTTTCCAGCAGACCTCACAAGCTCTTGAGGATTCCTGCCATAGATGTGGGTGAAATGTCAGGAGAGAATGCTTCTGGAACATTGCCATTCTGCGCAGAAGACTCACAGCAACCCCAAATAGTAGTAGTTGTTGTTATTACTGTTTAGGGGGGAGTCTTGTGTTCTGAAGCCCGGTGAATGTGGATGGCAGACTGCATTGTTTTCTTTCTTTCTTCCTTTTTCTCCCCTCTTCCCTAGGTTTTAAACCTGCAGCTTGCTGAGGGCGGGCAAGGAGACGTCCCTGTTGACGAAACCAAGCTCCACGGTAAACCTGATAAAACCTTGCGCTTTTCCCTCTGCAGTGATAATCTGGAAGGAATATCTGAAGGTGAAGAAGGGTCGCTTGAGTATCTTGCCTGTCAGACCGTGTTTTCAAAGGAGCTTCTTTTTGCTCATTGTAGCGGGCCTTTTTAATTTCTCATTTAATCCCAGCTGTGATATAATCCGCGCATTCCATCGGCCAATAATTTGTTAAAAGCAACCCTTGTGTGTGTGTGTGTGTGTATGCGTGCTGTCACCTTTATTTTTATCCGATCTTTGCTTTCCTTTGCTGTTATTGGGCCTTGTTTTTGAGCCTCGAGCAACGGCGCAATCTCTTCCCCGGCAGGTCCGTCGAACCGCTCCAATTCCGTGTCCTCTTTGGATTTGGAAGGGGAGTCTGTCTCCGAATTGGGAGCCGGCCCTTCGGGGAGCAACGGGGTGGAAGCCCTGCAACTGCTGGAGCATGAACAAGGTTGGTGACCATAGAATGTCACAAAATGTCACAAAATTTGAAAAATCTTCCATTCCTAGTTTTGAAAGTGTTATTTTCTGTTTACTTTGAGAATAGCTGTTATATCCCAGAAACTTTGTTGTTGTGACTGTCACAAAATATGATTTTCCTGCTTCTTGGTAGGGGTTGGACTGGATGGCACACATGGTCTCTTCTAATCTATGATTCTTATGTTGAATTGTGTTGTCGAAGGCTTCTGAAAAATGGCCATACAGTCTGGAAAACTCACAGCAACTAGCATTGTTGAAAATGCAACAGCAACAACAGAAACATTATTTACCCCATGAAATATTCTCTAGTTTCTAGCATTGCTGAAAATCCGACAACAACAACAACATCAACAACAAGAGAATGCTTCTGGAGACATGGCCACACAGTCCGGAAAACTCACAGCAACTAACACTGTCGAAAATCCAACAGCAACAACAGAAAAATTATTTACCCCATGAAATATTCTTTAGGTTCTCAAATTTCTCGAATTGTGGAAAATCCCATAATAACAACAAAAGAATGCTTCTGGAACATGGCCATACAGTCCGGAAAACTCACAGCAACTAGCATTGTTGAAAATGCAACAGCAACAACAGAAAAATTATTTACCCCATGAAATATTCTCTAGGTTCTCAAATTTCTAGCATTGCTGAAAATCCCACAACAACAATAACAACAACAAGAGAATGCTTCTGAAACATGGCCATACAGTCTGGAAAACTCACAGCAACTAGCATTGTTGAAAATCCAACAGGAACAACAGAAAAATTATTTACCCCATGAAATATTCTTTAGGTTCTCAAGTTTCTAGCATTGTGGAAAATCCCATAATAACAACAACAACAAGAGAATGCTTCTGGAACATGGCCAGACAGTCTGGAAAACTCACAGCAACTAGCATTGTTGAAAATCCAACAGCAACAAAAGAAAAATTATTTACTTACGAAATATTCTTTAGGTTCTCAAGTTTCTAGCATTGTGGAAAATCCCATAATAACAACAACAACAAGAGAATCCTTCTGGAACATGGCCAGACAGTCTGGAAAACTCACAGCAACTAGCATTGTTGAAAATCCAACAGCAACAACAGAAAAATTATTTACCTTATGAAATATTCTCTAGGTCCCAAGTTTCTAGCATTGCTGAAAATCCCATAACAACAACAACAACAAGAGAGTGGTTCTGAAACATGACCAGACAGCCCAGAAAACTCACAACAACCCTATGTTGAATTGATCTAGACTCTATGAGATATTCTTTGAAAAACTAGAGCAAAATGTGCTGCACGAAACAATGTTATTGCAGTTTAATAAACTTTTTCCCATGATTTTATGATAGAACCAATTAGGAAACTACGTTTTAACCTAAGAGCAAAAATCATGTTACATAAAGTAATTGATTGGTTTGTTGCAATATGGCTGCAATCCTGGATCGCTCTGCATAGTGCGGTTGCACAGCTTCTGGTGTCAATTCCACTTTTTCCAGAGGCTTAGGGCAGAGTAAATGGTTTGGGATGAAACTCCAGCGTGTTAACGCGGATATAGTTTAAATTCCAGCTGTTAATAGATTGTGGATTTCATTCAAGCCTCGCAAAGAGGGTTTTATCAAACCACCGTCTTTTTCCCCCAACAGCTACCACCCAGGATAATCTCGACGACAAACTGCGCAAATTTGAGATCCGGGACATGATGGGGTTGACGGAAGACCGGGACATTTCGGAAACTGTAAGCGAGACCTGGAGCACCGACGTCCTGGGGAGCGACTTCGACCCGAACATCGACGAGGACCGCTTGCAGGAAATCGCAGGTTACTTCTGGGTGCAATAAAAAACATTCTTTTCTTCTATGCTTCTTAGAAAAGAGGTCTGAAAAAAGGAAGTGGTTTTGCCATTGCTATGATATTTTGAGGCATGAATCGCACAGTAATTGGCTTTAACCCAGGCATGGGCAAACCTTGGCCCTCCTGGTGTTTTGGAGTCTCACAATTCTCAGTTTGAGAAGCTTCCAAAAGGCCATAAGCTCAATTCTGGAGTCGACAACCTCAATAACACCTCTGATGGATGGATGGAGGAATGTGGGATCGATCTCCCTTTTATATCTCTTTGCCTTTGACAGTTCCTTCTTTGGTTCCTCTTTCTAGGTGCTGCGGCGGAGAACATGCTGGGGACCTTACTGTGCCTCCCGGGTTCCGGGTCGGTGCTCTTTGACCCTTGCACGGGTTCAACCATCTCTGAAACCACCAGCGAAGCCTGGAGCGTTGAAGTGTTGCCCAGCGATTCAGGTGGGCAGCCTCAGCTTAAGGCACCGTTTATATGCTTCCCTAATGTGGGCGGAATTGTAAACGCAGCCTTCTAAGGAAGTTTGAGTCTTTTTTTTTAATGGCTTTTAAAATATTTCCATTGGGGAATTGGGAAAGTCAGGGGAAGAGAGAAGAATAAAGAAGGTAGGGTGTTGTAGCACAGGATGTGTCCGAGGATGAGGGGGATGATGGGTTCCAAATCGAGGAGTCTGTGTCAGATTGGAGAGAATTTCAGGTAGAGGAAGATGTGATTTCCGATGCTGGTTTCCAGACAACAGGGGAAAGTGAAAGTTCCAGAGAAATTAGATTAGGTCTGAGAACAGAGGGAGTAAGACACAAGTTAAATGTTCTCACAGAAGCCATGGGAAGACTGTGAAGTCCAGGTGTGTTCGGCATGATGTCATGGGTGCTTGGATGGGCTTAAATTAAGTGGCTTGGCTTCAAGCCTCTCAGAGGGGACAACATTGCTTTCAGGATGATTTTCCTGTTTATGCTTTCAAGTTGCCTGATCTGGTTGGTGTCTTTGTTCCTGTAAGGCTTTGCCCTGGAAGAAGCTTCTGTTTTCTGGTTTAGGAATTTATGTTTGTTTGTTGTAGAGCCAAAGCTAATTTATCAATTTCAGCCATTTCAAAAACTTTTGTAGTCCAATCTGATGATGTTGGTATCTTTGGTTGTTTCCTTAATTTTGCGTATTCAATTTTTGCTGTAGTTGTCATATAAAGGAAGATTCTTTCTTGTTTTGGTATATGTTTGTTTAATAGTCCCAATAGGAAGAATTCTAGAAGTGTGTCGTAGAATAGCAGTAGAGGACAGTGAAGTTAAATCAGAAATCCCAGCACCCCTGTCCTATGCACCTATGTTATTAGCATTTGGACATTTCATAAAATCACTCCATTTTCCTTTTTAATGTTGCGGTGAAATCCCCCACAGAGGAGAAGGACAATTCAGAAAGTTTTATTTTGGTGTTATCCAGACCTGGAAGGGTTTGTCTGCAGATATGTGTTGGGGCTCAGCAGCAAGATGCTGGGGATTCTGCAAATGATGGATTTTTCATTGAGTCTATGTCTGATCAAGCTGAAACATAGACAGAAATGCAGGACGTAGATCAGAGAGATGGGCTGGTAGCTGCAGAAGAGATAGACAATTTTTGAGATTCCATTTCTCTTGAGAATTGGCCTTCTCAGCCTTCAGAAGATGGGAAGTTACCCATGATATGAGATTAGGCCTCTGCTCAGAGAGAGCAAAGGAAAGGTTAATTAAAAGGTCAGAAAGACTCGGTGAGAAGTTTTTTAAACCCAACTGCTGTAGGGATGATCTCATGTCTTGTCGAAGGCTTTCATGGCTGGAATCACTGGGTTGTTGTAGGTTTTTGGGGCTATATGGCCATGTTCTAGAGGCATTCTCTCCTGACATTTCGCCTACATCTATGGCAAGCATTCTCAGAGAATGCTTCTAGAACATGGCCACATAGCCCAAAAAACCTACAGCAACCCACCAATCTCATGTCTGTTTGGTCAGGTTTGAGCTTAAATTAAGTGTTGTTTTCCTGGGCTCTCCAGAGCAGACAACATTGCCTCAAAATCAAGTTAACATTCAGCTCTCAAGCTTGCCATTGTTCCTGTTTGAGTTTTGTCTTGGAAAAGTTTTTGTATTCATGCCGATGGATTTATGCTTAAGCTCTTGACTTCATGGATTTCATGTACCTTACTATCTTGACTCCATAGATTTCCTATACCTTGCTATTTTGGACTATTGATCTTGGTGTATTTGGACAATTGCTATTACTATTTCATAGCTGCTTTTTGGGAAATTCAAATTTTTCCTTTTGTATATGCTTTTGTAAATAAACCGCTGTAGTTAGCTAATACTAGACTCTGTGTGGTGTTGGGTGGAAAGGTGTTCCTGGCCTAGAGTGCAACAATAGTTTTGAAAACTCTTGAGTTTAAGTTAGAAAAAGGATGACTTGTGGTTTGTGTCTTGCCTCCCCGCTGGGTCTTAGAAGCTCCGGACTTGAAGCAGGAGGAGAGGCTTCAGGAACTGGAGAGCTGCTCCGGGGTGGGAAGCACTTCGGATGACACCGACGTTCGGGAAGTGAGCTCCCGGCCCAGCACCCCGGGCCTCAGTGTCGTGTCGGGTGAGTCTGGCTCTCAGTAGCTCCTTCTTCGGGTTTCTATCCTCCATTTGCATTCTGGGTTGGAGATAGCAACCTTCTTCAAGCCTCCATTAGTTATTTGGATATAATTCAGATTGCGTATTGTATTGTATATGTGTGTATTAGTGTGCATTTTTCCTTAAACCTATGTTATGGGAGGGGCTGCTGGAGCTGATGAACAACTGCACTGCATCCTGTCAGATCCCCAAAATCTGGAGGAAAGCAAGAGTCATCGCCATCTTGAAGCCAGGCAAAGACCTTAATGATCCAAAAAGCTACAGACCAATCTCCCTGTTGTGCCACCTCTACAAAGTTCTGGAGAGACTTATTTTGCATAGAATTATGGAAAAAATAGACCCCTGTCTGATCCCACAGCAAGCTGGCTTCAGGAAAGGCAAAAGCTGCACATCGCAAGTGTTGAACCTGACTCAGCACATAGAAGATGGCTTTGAAAGGCAGCAGATCACAGGAGCTGTCTTCATAGACCTGTCAGCGCTTATGATACTGTGAACCACCGCCTCCTCCTGAGAAAAATGTATAATATCACAAAGGACAACCACCTCACCCGCCTCAAAGGAAACCTGCTACAAAACAGGAGCTTTTTTGTTGAGTTCCAGGGCCAGAGAAGCAGATGGCGGAAACAGAAGAACGGCCTGCCTCAGGGGAGCGTGCTTGCTCCATCCATGTTCAACATCTACACAAATGACCAGCCACTGCCAGAAGGGACAGAGAGTTTCATCTATGCTGATGATCGTGCCATTACTGCTCAAGCAGGGAGCTTTGAGATGGTAGAACAGAAGCTTTCCAAAGCTCTAGGTGCTCTTACTGCCTATTACAGGGAAAACCAGCTGATCCCCAACCCATCTAAAACACAGACATGTGCCTTTCATCTCAAGAACAGAGAAGCATCCCGAGCTCTGAAGATCACCTGGGAAGGAATCCCACTGGAGCATTGCAGCGCACCCAAATACCTGGGAGTCACTCTGGACCGTGCTCTGACCTACAAGAAGCACTGCCTGAACATCAAGCAAAAAGTGGGTGCTAGAAACAATATCATACGAAAGCTGACTGGCACAACCTGGTGATCACAACCAGATACAGTGAAGACATCTGCCCTTGCGCTATGCTACTCTGCTGCTGAGTATGCATGCCCAGTGTGGAACACATCTCACCACTAAAACAGTGGATGTGGCTCTTAATGAGACATGCCGCATTATCACGGGGTGTCTGTGCCCTACACCACTGGAGAAATTACACTGCTTAGCCGGTATTGCACCACCTGACATCCGCCGGGAAGTAGCAGCCAATAGTGAAAGGACCAAGGCAGAGACATCTCCAGCTCATCCCTGTTTGGGTATCAGCCAGCACGTCAACGACTTAAATCAAGACATAGTTTTCTAAGATCTACAGAGACACTTGCTGGAACACCTCAGCAAGCGAGAGTCCAAAAGTGGCAGGCTCAAACCCAGAACCTCAACCAGTGGCTGATACCAAATGAGAGACTCCCCCCTGGGCACAAAGAGGACTGGGTGACTTGGAAGGCGCTGAACAGACTGCGTTCTGGCACCACAAGATGCAGAGCCAAGCTTCAGAAATGGGGCTACAAAGTGGAATCCTCGATATGTGAATGTGGAGGAGAGCAAACTACTGACCACCTGCTGCAATGCAACCTGAGCCCTGCCACATGCACAATGGAGGACCTTCTAGCAGCAACACCAGAAGAACTCCAAGTGGCCAGATACTGGTCAAAGGACATTTAACTACCAAACTCACAAATGTTGTATTTTATCTGTTTGTTTGCTTTGTTCTGTTAGAAATGTAACATAATTGACTGGTTGATCTGACACGACAAATAAATAGATATGGGAGGGGCTGCAGACCATGTCATCAGAACTGGAAGTGTTCAGGACTCAAAATGCAATATTATTGAAGACTAGAGAACTTTTGAATCTAAGCAACCACACGATAGTTAGGTAAAAGCATCCCCAACATCAGTCCTTAATCTTGCCCAGATTTTCTGTGCGGCCAGGGAAAAAGAGACACCTTGTCAATACCAGCAGGGTTAGTCTCAGCCAAAATATTTTTCCAAGGTACTTACATTCCCAACATTGTTTGATTCGGTGGCCATTTGCCTCTTCCCAAGGGATCAGCGCAACCTCCGAAGACATCCCAAATAAGATCGAAGACCTCCGCTCCGAGTGCAGCTCCGACTTTGGGGGGAAAGATTCGGTCACCAGCCCCGATATGGACGAAACCGCTCACAGTAAGGCACCAAATATATTGCTTAAGATGGGATCGGGGAATCGGACTTTCCTGACCCCTCTGTCCTCAGCCAGCATGGCCAATGGTAAGGGATTATGAGCATTGCAGTACTTGGTAGAACTGCAGCTCCCATGATTCCATAGCAGTTAAAGTGATATCAAACAGTATCAGTCATCATCTGAATCCTGGCGTATTGTGCTTTGGGCTTGGAAACGTTCTGACTTTATGTATTTACGACACTTCTGTGCCGCCCTTCTCACCCCGAAGGAGACTCAGAGTGGCTTACAAGATAGATAGATAGATAGATAGATAGATAGATAGATAGATAGATAGATAGATAGATAGATATATAGACACACACACACACACACACACAATATATTATATTATTAGCATAGTACAATATCAGTATTATATATTACTATATTGTATTATACCATTATATTGTAATATTATTAGTAATATTACATGTAATATAAAATAATATTAAATGTAATACACGAGGGTTGAATGAAAAGTAATGCCTCCACCTTCATAACGCCTGAACAGATGGTACTGCTATGCGGCAGGTACTGGCTTGTTCAGACGACTCTCCTCTATAGTTCCATTTTGGCGGGAAGCCTTAGCATTGACCGGTTGTGTTGTTAAAGTGTGAAGTATGGAACCCTGCGCAGATGGTCGGTCAATGCGACTTAAGCAACACATGCGGCAGGTACTGGCTTGTTTAGTTGACTCTCCTCTACAGTTCCATTTTGGCAGGAAGCCTTAGCATTGACCGGTTGTGTTGCTAAAGTGCGAAGTATGGAACCCTGCTCAGACAGTCAGCCAATGAGACTTAAGCAACACATGCGGCAGGTACTGGCTTGTTCAGTAGACTCCTCTACAGTTCCATTTTGGTGGGAAGCCTTAGCATTGAACAGTTGTGTTGGTAAAGTGCGAAGTATGGAACCCTGTGCAGATGGTTGGTCAATGCGACTTAAGCAACGTATGTGGCAGGTACTGGCTTGTTCAGTAGACTCTCCTCTACAGTTCCATTTTGGCAGGAAGCCTTAGCATTGACCGATTGTGTTGTTAAAGTGCGAAGTATGGAACCCTGCGCAGATGGTTGGTCAATGCGACTTACTTCACATTTTAACAACACAACCGTTCAATGATAAGGCTTCCCGCTGAAATGGAACTGTAGAGGAGAGTCTACTGAACAAGCCAGGACCTCCCGCATACCAGTACTGCCATCTGTTGAGTTATGAAGGTGGAGGCATTACTTTTCATTGAACCCTCGTAAAATGACTTGCGGCTCTTGTGTTCCAGATGCTGCCCATCTGACCTCCCCTCCGTCCCAGGCAGATTCATTGCTGGCCATGTTCGATCCTTTATCTTCTCATGAAGGTAGGTATCCACGTGGTCCTATATAGGGCGGGCATGGGCCCTCCAGGCCTATGCCTGATCTATATAGCAGCACGGCGGCAACACAGTGGCTTTTTTCCCATCAGTGGTGCGGCCCAAGGTACACTACGCGCGGCCCTCGCACCCGCCTCCGGACCCCCCCATCCTGGAAGGGGCGCCAGGGGGCAACGAGGCCCGGCTGCCCAACTTCGGCTCCCACGCCGCCCTCCTCCTGGATGCAGAGGCCTTCAAGCAGCGCTACTCATACCCGGAGAGGCTGGTGCGGAGCCGCAGCTCGGACATCGTCTCATCAGCCCGCAGGCCCATGAGCGACCCCGGCTGGAACCGCAGGGCTGGCAACGAGGGGGAGAGGGACTTCCCCGCGCCCGTCGGCATTGGTGGCCCTGCCTTGATCGCGACCCCACAGTCCTCTTCCTCCTCACCGAGCAAAGATTCCTGCCGGAGCGAGGTGAGAATGAGTCTCCGTGGAATCCCAGATGTCCCTAAAGAATGGGGTGGGAGATCTATTATTATGGAGTTGGAAGGGACCCCAGAGGTCACCCAGTCCAACCCCATTCTGCCAGGCAGGAAAAGCACAATTAAAGCACCCCGATGGATGACCATCCAGCCTATCATGGAATTATAGAATCCTAGAATTGGAAGGGACCCCAAGGGCCATCCAGTCCAACCCCATTCTGCCAGGCAGGAAAAGCACAATTCAAGCACCCCCAGTAGATGACTGTCCAGCCTATCATGGAATTATAGAATCCTAGAATTGGAAGGGACCCCAAGGGCCAGCCAGTCCAACCCCATTCTGCTGGGCAGAAAAAGTACAATTAAAGCACCTCCAATCGATGACCATCCAGCCTAACATGGAATTATAAAATCCTAGAGTTGGAAGGGACCCCCAGACACACACACACACACCCCTAGGGACAAGTAGCTAATCCTTTCTGATTATATGCTGCCCTCTTGTGGTTGCATCTGAGAACTGCATCTACATATACCTACCTATAGGCCACCCTTCTCACCCTGAAGGGGACTCAGAGTGGCTTACTATACACACACACACACACGCACACACATACATTATATCATATCATATCATATCATATTATATTATATTATTAGCAGAGTACAATATCAGTATTAAATATTACTATATTGTACTATACCATTATATTGTAATATTAGTAACGTCATATGTAATATAAATATGTAATTATAATATATTATTATTATTAGTAGTAGTAGTATTATATTGCATTACATTATCTATATAAAGAAAAATGTAATGTTCATTTGTGGAATTAACATAATTCAAAAACCATTAGACGAATTGACACCAAATTTGGACACAAGACACCTATCAGGTCAACAAGTGACCATCACTCATAAAAGCACACAGCAGAAGGGACTTAAAAAGCCAAAAAATAAAAATACATTACAACAAATACGCAGATATATATATATACACACACACACATACACACGCGTGCAAACACACATATATACACACACAAAACACATATACATAGACTGGGCCACAGCAATGATGCATGGCAGTAATATTATAAATATTATATGTATATAATTTTCACGAATTGCTCCCCTTAAGAATCACATTGCCCCATGTTGGGAACCAAGGAGTGGACATTATGAGGAAATCCCACAATCAACAAGTGATTTTCACAATTACAATAATAATTGTATTAGTAGTTACCTGCCTCTCCTTCTGGCTTGAGGTGGGCTCAACATAATGATATTTGAATTGATAGGATTGCGCAGTTGACTCTGAGTAAGTCCCATTACACTCAGTTGGATTTTGTAATAAACAGGTCTAAAGTCCTTTCTATGTTGTGCTTTTTTCCCCAACAGATGGAGGACCGGAAGGATAGCGATGATGAAAAATCGGATCGGAACAAACCCTGGTGGAGGAAACGTTTTGTTTCGGCAATGCCTAAAGGTGAAATGTTACGGTTCCCACTACTTGTTTTCGCCTGCTACTTGGACTTCTGCCTTTCCTCAGTTTATATATAGAGTTTTTTATTGCTTCTATGTTTTTTATATGTCTTTATAATGTAATTTAATTGCTTTTAACTGAGACATGTATGTGTGTATATGTGTGTGTGTATATATATATATATGTGGCATCTAATTCGGGCTGAAATGAGTGGGATAAAAATGACATAAATAAATAAAATAAATATTTCTGTTTTCTAAGGGGGACAATGTTCTGTTACCTCTCAATTTAATATTTTGGGAGGTGATTTTCACCCCTTTCCAAAAGGAAAAGTAGTGTTATGCCAAACATTATATTTCTCTTTCAATATCCTCTTTGGGATTTGTTTTCTTGCTCCATCTCGTATATTCGTTTAGGAACTAAGTTGTAGGGAAGTTCTGCTTTTTCGTTCAAATGTAACTCAAGACAACTTCTCTTTGATCGCAGCTCCAATCCCATTTAGGAAAAAAGAGAAACAAGACAAGGACAGAGATGATTTCGTGCCTGATAGATTTGGTTCCCTTCAAGGTATGTAACTGATGCTTCAATCCGTATGGCAAATGCAGATTCCTTCCCTCTTTTTCCATCATGGTCAACTGTGAATCACACATATGGTAATTTCGGCGCCTGAGCAGACAAGTTACAAACAATATTGGTTCTGTAGTTTCATTCTTAAATTGAATTTGTATGTAAGTTGGAATAGGGTCATTTTAAAGTCCCATTCGTATAAAAATGTTCTGTTTGTTAGTGGGGACCTCATAACTCAAAAGCCACTGGACAAAATGACACCAAATTTGGCCACAAGATGCCTACCAACCCAAGGAATGACCATCACTCACAATCCCCCCCCCCAAAAGAAACGTATGTTTAAAAAAATCCTAATAAAAATATTGAAAAAAAGAAAAGAACTGGCATTGATATTTCTAGATGCAGAAAAAGCTTTTGATAATATCAACTGGGACTTCACTCTTTTAGTCTTAAAGAAATGGATATGGGCTGTTACTTTACAAATGGAATAAAATCAATATCTGAAACACAGGAAGCAAAAAATTGTGGAGAATGGTTGAGAAGCTAAAAGGATGATTTTGCATTTTGGGCGCAGGAAGGAAGGGAGGTTATAAGCCTTGTAGATAAATGAAAAACGCTTTCCTTACCTCTGTGCTTCTTGCTTTGTGTTTCAGACGATTCTGGTCCCCGCCTTAGCGCTCAGGCCCAAGCGGCGGAAGACATCCTGGACAAATACCGGAACGCCATCAAGCGCACCTGTACCAGCGAGGGCCCCGTTGTGAGCTATGACAACACAGGTGGGAGCCTCTCTCTTTCAATGAACCAGGAACAATCAAAGGCAGATCAAAACATTTTCTCTCTAGATCAAGCAGAGGCAAACTGCGCCCTTCTGGGTGTTTTTGGACTTCAACTCCCACAATTCCTAACAGTTGGGAATTATGGGAGTTGAAGTCCAAAACACCCAGAGGGCCAAAGTTTGTCCATGCCTGCTCTATATTATTTATTTACGACATTTATATGCCGCCCTTCTCACCCCAAAGGGGACTCAGAGCGGCTTACAAGGTATATATACATACAATATATTATATTATTAGCATAGTACAATGTCAGTATCAAATATTACTATATTGTACTATACCATTATATTGTACTATTATTAGTACGAGGGTTGAATGAAAAGTAATGCCTCCACCTTCGTAGCTCCTCAACAGATGGCAGTACTGGTGTGCAGCAGGTACTGGCTTGTTCAGTAGACTCTCCTCTACAGTTTTATTTTGATGGGAAGCCTAAGCATTGAATGGTTCTGTTGCGAAGTATGGAACCCTGTGCAGACGCTCAGTCAATTCGACTTAAGAAACATGCAGTTATTGAATTCTTGACAGCAGAAGGTGTCACCTCAATATCTTTAAAGTTACTCACCCAAGAATGCACAGTACTCACATCAACACAACAACCATAAATAGCTTTCATTCTCTGATGAATCCCCTTTGGGGTGACACCTTCTGCTGTCAAGAATTCAATGACTGCAGGTTGCTTAAGTCACATTGACCGACTATCTGTGCAGGGTTCCATACTTTGCACTTTAACAACGCAACCATTCAATGCTTAGGCTTCCTGCCAAAGGAACTGTAGAGGAGAGTACTGAACAAGCCAGTACCTGCCGCATACCAGTACTGCCATCTGTTGAGTTACGAAGGGGGAGGCATTACTTTTCATTCAACCCTTGTAATATTACATGTAATATATATATGGGTTTGCATTTTGCGATTTTCCTTTCCTTATATGTTATATTATATATATATATATAGATACTAGCTTGGGGACCCAGCGGTGCCCGGGTTATTTAAGAAGGCATTGTTTGTTTTGTGAAGTTTGGGAATATCAGTTTGGTAATGCTATTTATTAGGGGGGAAGTCTTTCTTTTTGTTTTTTAATTAATGCTCCCATTAGAAAATGCATAAGGATGTGGGTGAACTACAATTTCCAGAATTGTGGGTCAGTCATTCCCAAATCCTGCCATTATTTAAAGTTGGGCATGTTCGACCTGTGTGCCAAGTTTGGTCCAGATCTGACAGCAGCTGAGTTCAGTGATATCTTGGTAAGGGTGGACTACAACTCCCAGATTCCCAGGGCAATCACCCCTAAGCTCAGCCAGTATGCACAATTGGCCATGTTGGTTCTGTGTGCCAAGTTTGGTCCCGATCCATCGTTGGCTGAGTTCACTGTTCTCTAGATAACGGTGAACTACAACTCTCAGGGTAATCACCCCTAAACTCTGCAAGTATGGACAATTGCCCATGGTGGGTCTGTGCACCAAGTGAGTTCTAGGTCCATCATTGGTGCAGTTCAGAGTGCTCTTAGATTGCAGYTGAACTATGCATCCCAGTCCCTACAACTCCTATAAATCATTGTGAATTCTCTCCAAACCTCTCCAGTATGRTCAGTTGCTGATCAATRCCTCTGCTGTGTGCCAWAYGAAAGGYTTGGAARGGYATAAMGGAGAAGCAGTGGGTGGGGTCATGCAAATGAAGAGAGAAAGGAACACTGGGATGTGCTTGCTATAACCTGCAATGTCCTTTGAGAGAGTGACTTGCTGTCTTCTCAGTACTGGAAACAATAGCCTATTTGTGGAGGCTGGAGCCACAAGACAAACTGCAAACCCAGGCAACACATGTAATCTGTGTAAACATGTAATCTTGGAGCGCTAACCCTGTGGCGGATGTGTTTAGATGCCATCGGAGACGGAGAAAGCATCCATGACTCCCCCCGGGAGGACGCCTTGCAAAACATCTCTGCGGATGACCTTCCGGACTCGGCCAGCCAGGCTGCCCAGCCGCAGGATTCGGCCTTTTCCTACCGGTAACTTCCTCATCCATGTGTATCCAAATGTGGCCTTAGACTCCTGGGAGAGGGAAACTCTTATGGGGAAGAAGTCCAACGCGTCCAATTTGGACGCGTTCGGATTCCCGCTCAGCCTTTGTTTCCTGGCAGGGATGCCAAGAAGAAGCTACGCCTCGCACTGTGTTCGGCCGACTCTGTGGCCTTCCCAATGTTGTCCCACTCGACGCGCAACGGGCTTCCGGACCACACCGACCCGGAAGGTAAATAATAATGCCTTTCCCTTGTCTGAATTAGTAAGGAAGAATGGTCGTGAATTCCGTTCCTTCTCACTGAGATTATAGAGACAGAGGGAAAAGCTGAGTTGAGTTTACATGGAGGGAAAAGCTGAGTTGAGTTTACTTGAGTTTGGGACTCCATTTGTGTCATAATCACACTGCCTTGTCTCCTCTGGGTCTCCCAACCAGACAATGAAATCGTGTGCTTCCTAAAAGTCCAGCTGGCCGAAGCCATCAACCTCCAGGACAAGAACCTGATGGCCCAGCTTCAGGAGACCATGCGTTGCGTCGGCCGCTTCGACAACCGGACTTGCTGCAAACTGTTGGCCTCCATTGCTGAGGATTACAGGTGAGACCTTTCCTAGAGAGCTTTGGTTGTGATTGTTTGCAGGCGTCAACTTATGTGGCTGTTAGGAATTGTGGGAGTTGAAGTCCAAAACACCCGGAGGGCCCAAGTTTGCCCCTGCCTGGCCTAGATTGAGTTTGCTGCCTTCTGCGTGCCATAATATGCCCAATATGCCTTCTTTTCCTCCAGGAAAAGAGCCCCATACATTGCGTACCTGACCCGCTGCCGCCAGGGTCTGCAGACCACCCAGGCCCACCTGGAAAGGCTGTTGCAGCGCGTCTTGCGGGACAAAGAGGTGGCCAACCGCTACTTCACCACCGTCTGCGTGCGGCTGCTGCTGGAGAGCAAGGAGTCCAAGATACGGGAGTTCATTCAAGGTGACGGCGCTCGCGTTGCTTTGTGAAAGTCCCCGTGCAATATATGTGGGTGAAGGAGATTTGCACGGGAAGTGTCCGTTCTCTGCAACAAGGAAAAGATAGACAATAAAATCAGCTTAACCTGTGAATGGGGAGAATCTTAGAATTGGAAGGGGCCTCCAAGGGCCATCTAGTCTGTCCCCATTTTGTCATATGGGAAGGCACCATCAGATCCCCTCCCAATCGGTCTTTGTTTACAAACTTCCAGGAAATTCTCAAGTTGGAAGGGACCCCAAAAGGTCATCCAATCCAACCGGATCCCTCCAGGCAGATGGCCATCCAGCCCCTACTTAAAAGCCCTAGAATTGGAAGAGATCCCAAGGACCAATTGGTTTTTGTTTACAGAACAGATTTCCAGGAAATTCTCAAGTTGGAAGGGATCCCAAAACGTCATCCAATCCAACCAGACCCCTCCAGGCAGAAGGCCATCCAGCCCCTACTTAAAAACCCTAGAATTGGAAGAGACCCCAAGGACCATCCAGTCCGACTCCATTCTGTCATATGGGAAGACACCATCCAGTCCCTCCTGACAGATGGCCATCCAGCCATAGATATGATAGATGGATAGACTCCCAGAGCTATCCAGCTCAGCCCCCTTCTTTATGCCACAATGGCACCACCCAATCTCTCCCGACAGATGGCCATTCACCCATCAATAGAATAGATGGATATAGTGATAGGAATGAGGACCCCAGAGCCATTTAGCTCAGCCCCCTTCTTTCTGCCACAAAAAGGCACCACCTGATCTCTCCCAACAGATGGCCAGTCAGCCATCGATAGGATAGATGGATATATAGACATGAATGAGAAGGTCCCCAGAGCCATCCAGCTCAGCACCCTTCTTTCTGCCACAAAGGCACCACCCGATCTCTCCCGACAGATGGCAATCCAGCTATCAATATGATAAATGGATATATTGATAGATATGAATGAGAAAGACCCCAGAGCCATCCAGCTCCTCCCCCTTCTTTCTGCCACAAAGGCACCACCTGATCTCTCCCGACAGATGGCCATCCAGCTATCGATAGGATAGATGGATATTTAGACATGAATGAGAAGCTCCCCAGAGCCATCCAGCTCCTCCCCCTTCTTTCTGCCACAAAGGCACCACCTGATCTCTCCGGACAGATGGCCATCCAGCTATCGATAGGATAGATGGATATTTAGACATTAATGAGAAGCTCCCCAGAGCCATCCAGCTCAGCCCCCTTCTTTCTGCCACAAAGACACCACCCGATCTCTCCCAACAGATGGCCATCCAGCCATCAATATGATAAATGGATATATTGATAAATAGGAACGAGAAGGACCCCAGAGCCATTCAGCTCAGCCCTCTATTTTCTGCCACCAAGGCACCATTCAGCCATCAGCAGGATAGATGGATATTTATTTATTTATTTAGTTGCTATGTTTATATACCGCCCCTCTCAGCCCAGAGGCAACTCGGAGCGGTTCAGATAGATATGAATGAAAAGGACCCCAGGGCCATCCAATCCAGCCCCCTTCTTTCTGCCCCAAAGGAAGACACAATCTGATCCCTCCCAACAGATGGTCATCCAGCCATAGATCAGATAGATAGATAAATAGATAGATACGTAAATCGATAGATAGGAATGGGAAGGACCCTGAGAGTCATTGAGTCCAACCCTCTTCTTTCTGCTTCAAAACCTCCAGTGAAGGAGATTCCATTAAACTCGGTTAAAGCCTGTTCCTCTTACCATCAGGAAATTCATCTAAACTATGTTTGGCATAAAAGTGGGGGAAATAGGAACCTTTATACACATGCGGTGGGATTATGATAAGGTACAAATCACATTATTTCCATCCGCAAAGACTTCCAGAAGCTGACGGCAGCTGACGACAAGACGGCCCAAGTGGAGGACTTCCTGCAGTTCCTGTACGGGGCGATGGCGCAGGACGTCATCTGGCAGAACGCTAGCGAGGAGCAGCTGCAGGACGCCCAGCTGGCCATCGAGCGCAGCGTCATGAACCGCATCTTCAAGCTGGCCTTCTACCCCAACCAGGACGGGGACATCCTGCGGGATCAGTGAGTTGGATTCCCTTGGAAACTCAGGAGACGATTCCCTCTTCTTGCCTCGCTTAACGCTCACGTTCCTTCCTCCCAGGCTCCTCCACGATCACATCCAGAGGTTATCGAAAGTTGTGACGGCCAACCATAAAGCGCTTCAGATCCCGGAGGTAAGCTCTCTGGCCTCTTTGAGGGCAAATCCATGTCTCGATTCTTATAATATTATCCCAGGTGAGGTCTAATCAAAGCAGAAGAGAGCGGTGCTATGGCTTTCCCCAGTTGAGACACTAGACTACTAATGGTGCAGCCTAGAATCCCATTGGCCTTTCCTTTTGGGTGAGTGGGCTTACAAAAGACCTTCCCCATGAAATCACAGCAGAGTAACTTATTAGTAGCAGCATGACCCAGCACACAAATAAAGTTTTTTTATACTTCCTTCTTTGCTTCCATGCTGGGCTTCTTTCTCATGCAGATAAACAGCTACCTCTTACACTGAACTTACACAGGAGTTTTACACAGTGACTTTACACACTGGAGTTTCACACACAGTGGCCTTCAACCTAGGACTTCCTCTCACCGAAGCTTCTCACACCAGGCCTTCTCATACTGAGGCCTACTAACACTGAGGCATTTCTCCCACTGAGGGCTCTCTCAGACTGATGCCTCTCTCACGCTAAGGTGAATTCTCATTGAGGCCTACCTCACACTGAGGCCTTTCTTCCACAGAGACCTCTCACAGACTGAGACCTACTAAGTTACAGGCATACCGGGCTCTCTCAGACTGATGCCTCTCTCACACTGAAATGAATTAACACTGAGGCCTACCTCACACTGAGGGCTCTCTCACACAGATGCCTCTCTCACATTGAGGTGAATTAACACTGAGGCCTTTCCTCCACAGAGACCTCTCACAGACTGAGACCGACTAAGTTACAAGCATACTGGGCTCTCTTCGACTGATGCCGCTCTCACACTGAGGTGAATTAACACTGAGGCCTACCTCACACTGAGGCCTTTCTCCGACAGAGACCCCTCACAGACTAAAACCGACTTAAGTTACAAGCATACTGGGCTCTCTCAGACTGATGCCTCTCTCACACTGAGGTGAATTAACACTGGGGCCTACCTCACACTGAGGCCTTTCTCCCACAGAGACCCCTCACAGACTAAAACCGACTTAAGTTACAAGCATACTGGGCTCTCTCAGACTGATGCCTCTCTCACACTGAGGTGAATTAACACTGGGGCCTACCTCACACTGAGGCCTTTCTTCCACAGAGACCTCTCACAGACTGAGACCTACTAAGTTACAGGCGTACCGGGCTCTCTCAGACTGATGCCTCTCACACTGAGGTGAATTAACACTGAGGCCTACCTCACACTGAAGCCCTTCTCCCACAGAGACATCTCGCAGACTGAGACCGACTAAGTTACAGGCACACCTGCTTCTATGGAAATGCAGCTTTTGCTGAGTCATTGCATCCATTTAACCCTTTCAGTGCTTGATCCACATTTTTGTAATTAAAAATATCTAGTTAATTTTTAATAATTCTGACATTTTCCGCTGCAGCACCACCCTCTTGGCTCATGTAGTGGTCTACTAAGACTCCTCGATCCCTTCCAAACCATGTGTGCCCTAGACTCTTATCTTACGGGTTCTCAAACTGCGTTCCGTGGAGCCATTATTATTATTATTATTATTATTATTATTATTATTATTATTACAAAGTCGGGGTGGCTATCTATTGGGGGTGCTTTCATTGTGCTTTTCCTGCATGACAGAAGGACTTGGACTGGATGACCCCTGGGTTGCTCATTATTATTATTATTATTATTATTATTATTATTATTATTATTATTACAAAGTCGGGGTGGCTATCTATTGGGGGTGCTTTCATTGTGCTTTTCCTGTATGACAGAAGGACTTGGACTGGATGGCCCCTGGATWGCTCCTAATTATTATTATTATTATTATTATTATTATTACAAAGTTGGGGTGGCTATCTGTTGGGGGTGCTTTGATTGTGCTTTTCCTGCATGACAGAAGGACTTGGATGGCACCTGGGTTGCTCCTAATAATAATAATAATAATAATAATAATAATAATAATAATACTTATTATTATTATTATTATTATTATTATTACAAAGTTGGGGTGGCTATCTGTTGGGAGTGCTTTGATTGTGCTTTTCTTGCATGGCAGAAAGGGGTTAGACTGGCTGGCCCCTGGGTTGCTTATTATTATTATTTTTATTATTATTATTATTACAATAACTGGGTGGCCATCTGTTGGGGGTGCTTTCATTGTGTTTTTCCTGCATCGCAGAAAGGGGTTGGGCTAGATGGTCTTTAGAGGTCCCTTCCAACTCTTATGATTTCTGGGCAAGGTTTTTTTAAAGCCTTCCTCTTGAGGCTGAGAGTATGCGCCTTGCTCAAAGCTCTTTATCATATCCGCCTCACAAACACACCATTATGTTGCTGTGTTTGTGTTGTTCACCTCTGAGGCTTCCCCCACACCCCCAAGCCCTTTTTTTGTAGCTGCCAGGTCCGCTCTTCCTTTCCCCGCAGGTCTACCTCCGCGAAGCCCCCTGGCCCTCTGCACAGTCCGAGATCCACACCATCAGCGCCTACAAGACGCCCCGGGACAAGCTGCAGTGTGTCCTGCGGATGTGCTCCACCATCATGAACCTGCTGAGCCTGGCGAATGAGGACTCGGTCCCTGGGGCAGATGACTTTGTCCCGGTCCTGGTGTTCGTGCTCATAAAGGTGAAGGGCTTTTGCACAGAGGGCATTGGGCATGCATACATTCCTAGAGGCCAGTAGCTAATCCCTTCTGTTTATGTACTGCCCTCTTGTGGCTGCATCTAAGCACTACATACATACATTCCTAGAGGCCAGTGGTTAATATTTTCTATTTATATACTGCCCTCTTGTGGCTGCATCTGAGCTCTGCATACATATATTCCTAGAGGCCAGTAGCTAATCGTTTCTATTTATATACTGCTTTCTTATGGCTGTATCTAAGAAGCTGCATACATACATTCCTAGATGCTAGAAATTAGAAGCCAATCCTTTCTATTTATACACTGACATCTTGTGTTTGCATCTAAAGGCTGCATACATACCTATAGGATAGGTGGGGATTGTCTGCACACCCACCTATCCTTAAAATATTCATCCTATTTCACTTGTACATGCCCAGCATTTTAAAAATTTTAATCATTACATTTGGCCCTGCCACTGGTTTTAAATGTGTCGTGATTATTGTCATTGTTTTGCTTTGCTTATGAGTTATTTATTGTTGTATTGTTGTCGTTGTGTTTTATTGATGTACTTGGGCTCGGCCTCTTATAAGCCGCACCGAGTCCTGCGGGAGATGGTAGCGGGGTATAAATAAAGTATTATTATTATTATTATTATTATTATTATT